GATGATCTCACCCTTCGCGATCGCCGAATTGCTTCTCAATGTTGTGTACGATTTTGTGCAGGATGGCAGACTTCGATCTTGGCATGCGATCTAGAGCATACTTGTAGATTGCTCTCGAGCGCTCGTACTCCTTGAGCTTTGCCTCGAACTTGGCATATGCAATGAACAACTTCTCATCCATAAACTCATCGCCAAGTGCTTCGATAGCCATACCAAACACCTCTCGTACCAAGTCACTCGTTCCATTCTCCTCCTCGAACTTGGCCCATTTGATCCAGTTCCTAGGCTCCGGATGCACGATGGTGAAGCGCTCGAAGATGTTCCTCGCGCGATCGAATTCTCCATAGCGCTTCTCTAGCTTGATGTATGCGCTCCACGCTGCCTCGTCTGGCTCCCAGCTCATCCATCGTTCGAAGACGGCCCTCGTGCCAGGAATGTTGCCCAACATTTCCTCCATGTAGACATACTTATACCACAGCTTGTCGACTCTGGGAAGAATGCTTACGGCACGATCAAGCAGGTTTCGCGCATGGTTGATATTCCTCTCCTTCATTTCGCTCTCGATATACCGTACCCACAGCTGCACATTCGTGGGCTCGCAGTCCAAGGCTCGCTCAAAAACAGATCTTGCGCGGCGATATTCTTTCTGCTCCAGTTCCCAGGCAGCATACCGGAACCAGTTGCCCATATTAAGTCTATTGCGGCGCACATAGTCTTCAAATTCCTTACGCTTGCGTCCTTGGTATTCATGGAGTTCCTCAAGATCTGCGAAGCGCGTTGTCGGTTTCTCAAGAGCAGGTTCCTGTCTGTCGACTGCTTCGCGGAGGAGCTGTTCGGCGGATATCTGTTGAGGCGCGGGAGCCTTATTCTTGACCCTTGGAGGGCCGCGTGAAGGCTCCATTGCGGCGGCGGTATCACGCTGTCGGTGGAGGTGTTGTGCGGAAGGTTGAAAGTGGAGATGTAATGTCGCTTTCACATGCGACTTGGAAGTTTTGATGCTGCGCGAGTCATGCGCCAAGCACAGAGCTTCTAACGCCGACACTTTGGCTTTGCGACAACAGCTCTCTTCCAGTCTGGTTCACATACGACAACTGACTGAGCATGCAACATACGTAGTTCAGTCCGAAGGTCTGCCACGAAAGCCACAGCGAATCGAAATTGACCAGAATGGCGACGATTGCGGACGAACTTCTGAACGACTTCGAGGACAGCGGCGATGAGAACGATGATCAGGTCGACGAGAATGAGTTTGGCACAAACGATGCAACACAAGACTTCGCAGCGCCACAGCAGAATGGCGGCGGAATGGAGCTTGACAGCGATGAGGAAGAAGTCGGCGAAGAAAATGACGAGGACTTGCTACCCGATCATTTAAAGAAAGAGGAAGAGGAGACAGAAGAAGAGACGAAGGCGCGTGTAGAGCGCATGGCTTTGCGAAGCGTCAGCGATGTGCGCAGCGTAGCAGGTCTCATGAAGCAGCTGGATCCACTACTCGAGGTAAGCACATAACCCCACCCTTTCTATTTTAAATCGTTGTGGTTTAATCAATATGGACACAGCCCTGACCATCATGGCCTCCTGCAGAAAATCAACCATTATCGGACTTTACCACCTGGGCAAGAAACCAAGAACATTGGAAGAGTTGAGGACAATCCGGAGTACAAAGTGCTCACACAATCCAACACCCTCTCCACCCAAATTGATGGTGAAATCATCCTCGTGCACAAGTTCATTCGCGATCACTACTCCGTACGCTTTCCGGAGCTCGAGACGCTGATCCAGAATCCGCTCGACTATGCTCGTACCGTGGGAATCATCGGCAATGGTCCTATGGACAACATCAAGTCCATTAGTGAAAGCAAAGACAATGTCGTCGGCGCATCGCTCAAGCAGATTTTGGATGGTCCCTCGCTAATGGTTGTCACTGTCGAAGCCACCAACACCTCCGGAACTCCCCTCTCAGACACGGAGCTTGCGACTGTACGTCGGGCATGTCAAATGATTTTGAGGCTAGACTCGGCGAAAAAGACGTTGACAGACTATGTGCAATCACGAATGTCTATATTTGCACCCAACTTAACTGCGCTGATAGGTTCCGCAACTGCAGCACAGCTCATCAACTATGCGGGTGGTATTAACGGTCTCGCGAAGACTCCAGCATGCAACATCCCGCCACTTGGCAACAAGAAAAGTGCACGAGCAACAGGTCTGGCTACAAATGTGGGTGTGCGAAACCAAGGCGTGCTCTACAACAACGACATCATACGCGCTGTTCCGCAAGATCTCAAGGTGCAAGCTATGCGCATTCTCTCTGCAAAAGTCGTGCTCGCTGCCAGAATTGATAGCCAGCACTCATCACCTTCGGGTGAGCAGGGGTTGGCCTTGGCGGAACAAGTAGAGAAGCGCATCAATAAACTATCCGAAGCACCCCCGAACAGCGGTATCAAAGCTCTTCCGGCACCGGACGACAAACCAAGCAGAAAGCGCGGTGGACGAAGGGTACGGAAGATGAAGGAAGCGACAGCCATGACAGATCTGCGCAAGGCTCAGAACCGGATGGCATTTGGTAAAGAAGAAGCTGAAGTTGGCTTTGGCGACAGCTCGAAGGGTCTGGGCATGATTGGGGCGCAGGATGATGGACGAATCCGAGCAACACAGATCGATCAACGAACGAAAGCAAAGCTATCGAAAAAGAATCCTGGCTGGGGAGGCGCGACTCCTGCTGGTGGTTCTGGCACTGCGACATCGCTTCGTGGATTTGGCGGAGGTCCTGCAGCACCTGGAGCTCTAAGAGCCCAGGGTCTACGAGCTGCAGGTGTTGGCAGTGGTCTGAAGACGAACGTTGGTGGGCAGCCAAGTGGTACAATTTCGACTGTAGCTTTTACTCCGGTCCAGGGTATCGAGCTCGTCGACCCCAAGGTGCGCGATGAGATGAACAGAAAGCGAAAGGCCGAAGAGGATCGATGGTTCAAGAGTGGCACGTTCACTCAATTGGGAGGTCCCAGCACAGCGGCTCAGCCTGCGAAGGTGGATTCACAAGGCTTCAAGGTCCCGTCCCTACCAGTCAAGAAGCAGAAGCAGGGCGATTGAGGTTTTGACTACCCATATCTCGCCAAAAGATTTGCTGGGTACCAGCTTAATCCACGAATGAAAGTAAACTGACATGGGGATAATGAGATCGCTCACACAGGCTAGCCGCGGCAAACAGTAAGCATTCCCCCCAGAAGTGGCGTCGTATTCCATAATACTTATGAGTGCTAGCGCTAGTGGATGGATGCAGTATCGCCATTCGGCCGACAATTTCGCTACTCCGAGCCATGGATCGTCGGAAAGAAACTTGTCAAAAAGGATGCAAGCTCGTTATTCGTAGAAATACAGATGAAGCCGCTTCCCTGGCTTAGATACTGATGAAGTTCACTGTCGCCTGCCATATGGACGGCTCAAGCCAATTCAATCATATATGCAAAAATTAAGCTCTCATTCAGAGCCACTGCTTCCACCAGCTCTTAGCCTTCTTCTCACCCGGGAGTTTGGCATCAATGATCTCTTCCATTGTCAAATTCCTCCAAGTCTCAATTGGCAACCAGCCAATCCTTGCTCGATCACCGAAGCCGCCGAACCAGTACACATGGTCGACAATCAATTGCACATACTCGCTCTCATGCGAGATGTCGTTTCCGGGCTGCCATAACACAGAGTCTGGGTGCGATCGCAAGAAGCATGCCTGGATCTTGCGGTATTGCAGGCCATGTCTCGAGACCGGCTCAAGGTGTCCATGTAACGAAAACCGCGGAAGCGCAGCAGGTGTATGCGGGGTTGGAATCTCTTTGACATCACTGAAGAGCGAGTATGTTGTCTTGCGGTCTGGCCACCATCTTATGCTTAGACTTATGTTCGAGCCTTGGTTGTAGTTCTTGTAGGGCGTGGCAATGTTGATGGCAAGGAGGATCGGGTTGCCCGAATGTGGATCGCAATCGGCATAGTATTCCATCAGACCTATGGGTGTGCCTGCGACACCTGCTGGACGGTTCTCTTGCAGCTCGACATCGCTGTGGGAGGACTGTGAAGGAAATACGGTGACGAGGTCTCCAATTGTGGTAAGGTGCATTATCTTCCTTGCCATGGCGGTCGATTCCCGGACAGAAGGTATCCTGTAGCCTTCATTGTGAGGTTCCTCAGGATTGCTGAAGATGTGTTGAGGTTGACTGGTGAGGATGGACTTGGCCGATATGCCTGCAGCCAGGCTGGATAGCAATATTGCCGAACGCATCTTCAGATTCTCCAACTGACGCCTCCGAATGCTGTCAAGACCAGAGAGATGGATGACTTTGATCTGATGATAAGGTCAGGATCTCTTATCGCGGCAAGATCCGAGGCAGCGCTTTCCCTCTCTCGTGACACCGAGAACGCTTGGCAGAGGCAGGTGCCGCACAGTAATTGCGAGCGCGGAGAAGACACTCGCTGCACCTCACCAACGCCATCGAACAGCGAACACACCCATCGACCCGACATTCATCAAGGGATCCCGTGAGTCTCGCCAATCCATCCGAATATATCGCACACCGCCAGGCAGCACATTTCCGCCTACACACGACCGATTTCCGCGCACACAGCTAACACTTCTTCGCCACCGCAGAATCACACACAGCTTGAAAGAACACCGCAACCATGGGTAAGGTGCACGGATCTCTCGCCCGTGCCGGTAAGGTCAAGTCGCAGACTCCAAAGGTACGAATACACCGTTAAATGATAAGCCCGAGACGGAATAAGGACAATATCTGACATGCGTCATACATACAGGTCGAGCCACAGGAGAAGAAGAAGACTCCAAAGGGCCGCGCCAAGAAGAGAATCACATACACTCGCCGTTTCGTCAACGTTACTATGACCGGCGGCAAGAGGAAGATGAACCCAAACCCAACCTCATAAAGAGCGCGACAAGATGAAATGATGGGGAGAAGGGAACGGCTATGAAATGGGCGGACACGACATCGAACGTGGATGATGCGGTGAAACGCAAATACATCAGCAGGCGTTTTATCTGTGAGGTGCCGCGGCTCTTTTCTGGCATGAATGTGTTGAGAGTCGGCGCTTCCATGATGTGATACTGGAATGCGTGGCTTGAGGATTAGACGACCGTTGCATTGTCTCTAGTAGGGCTATGAAGACGGTGGGAAGGCTGATGTTTTCGTATGCTGAAAGGTAGCTCGTATTGCAAAAGCTTTCCACGCATTGCTTTCTCAATACATGATATTCCAAGTTGATTTTCACTGCGCAATAGCCTGCACTACCCAGTAAGTCCCTTTGCTCTTGCCAGCTCATCTCGAGCCTCAGCCAGTTCTGCATCACTAGGCATATTAACCATCATCAGATACAAGACGTCCTCACGCATGGCTCTCTTGACAGTGCGTACCGGACCACCGCCACCCCTCTGACTCCGATTCCTCCTTCCTCGTCTGGATCTGCGTTGGTACGCATCTGTGTGAGAAGACGAGCTCGGCCCTGCAACATCATCACCATACTCTGCTTCTTCACCAAGAGCTTGACCCCAATGGTAGTCATCGTAGCCGGCACTGCTGCCGAAGCCTCTTCTTTCAAAAGCTCCAAATCCTCCACGGCCACGACCACGGCCATCAAAGCCGCCTCTGCCATGTCCAAATCCTGCTCTGCCTCGCCCAAAGCCTCCACGACCGTAACCGAATTCTGCGCCGTGACCATGGTCATGACTATGATAATGTCTCCCATCATGCCTCGACCTCCTTCCCCCTTCTCTTCTTTCCCTCCTTTCTTCCCGCCTCTCCTCCCTCCTGGCACTCTTCTCTTCTCGCCTTTCCATTTTCCTCTCTCTCTTGTCTCTTCTCGGCGTCAGCTTGCCACCGCTTACAAGCGCCACAAGACCTCCCGAATGCATAGCATGGTTGGGATCAGCCAAAGAACTCTTGAAGCCTCTTTCGCCTTGTGGCACGGTGAGCTGTTCCGGATTACTGCCTTGTGCGGCATATTGCATTTGTGCTCTGCGATCTAGATAGTCTGAGAGAAAGCGTTGAGCATCTTTGGTTTTATCCTTGAAAGTCTCTGGACCAGTGGATGAATTGAACTTCTCGTCAATTGCAGGGAAGACCAAGGGAGCACATTCTGGGAGGGAGAGTTGTCCCGAGGACGTTGTGCTCGAGATGCGGAGATTTTGCATGCGTGAACTCATACCGGCACTGCTGTCTTCACCTGAGTATTTGGCTATAACCTGATTTGTAGACAGGTCGACCGTTTGCGGTTTGATCAGATTGCTGATTAGACCAGTCCTTCGCGCAGAGTCTTCCATTTCTGCGTCTGATTTGTATTTGACGATCATGGCGTACAGACCTGCCGGCTGAAATAGTTCCTGATTCATCTTGTCCAGAAAAGTGTTGGTTTTGTATCGTTCTTGTGTTTCAGCCGCTACTCTAGCTGCGATTTGGACTCCGGTCGTGACAGCCAATGCTATGACTCCAGGTGCAAATCCTGCAATTCCTGCTGCCACCTGGATAATAGGTAGAATTGGGTGAGCTTGGGACGATTTATGGAAGTTCTTCAGAAATGTGAGGAATGTAGCTTGATCGATGCCGGCGTTTTGAAGGACCGGAGCATAGGCTTGCACGAAGCCTCGAGACTTCTTGCGTGGTCGTCTCTGAGGTATGATGACAGGGCATGGCAAAGGGTTCTGTGGTCGGGAGCTGCTCGGCTGTGCTACTTCGTGAGCTGCTGAAGTGCTCATGACGTCTTTCACAAGATCCTCAGTGGGCTCGAGTTGCTTGGTCGCTTCAGACTCTTCGTATGAAGGAAGGCCATCTTTGCTATCTTCAGACGTGATTGCGTCGTCCAGCTCCCAAATTTCTTCGTCGTCTTCTGTGGACTCATCGTCCGAGCTGAACGACTCGGGATCGGTAAGATCACTTGGACCAACACTACGTCGCTTCTCGTCTGATGCGGATGGTTCAGCCTCTAGTGTCCGGCCTGAAGAGCTAGCAGCATCTGCATATGCTGGAGGGAGGTCAGTTGGTGGTGCTTCGGCTCTGCTTGTAGAACTTGATATAGGCCTCGAGCTTTCTTCTTCTTCTGCTGCTGCTGCCGCTGCTCTCGCTTGCTTTTGTTCTTTGCGGTGCTCACTATATTCGGCTGCCATCCCTATGCCGGAGCTGATCAAACCAAACAAGCCTTTGCGCTGGCGGTCGCCCATCTTCGCGGGGAATGTAGGCAGCTACTTTAGTCTCAATTATCTTTATAACAAACGTGAAGGAGAGGTCTAAGAGAGTCTGATGAGAGAAGTGGTGTGATATATAGGTGAATCTCGTACTATCCACCCACCCAACTCGCCGACTGCTCCAGCTCGCGAAGCTGCTTGGAACTAGCCGACAGTGCCTACAGCCTCATGGCCGAATTACATGCTCAGAACTTCAGAAGTGGAGTCTTGATGCATGGTGGAAGTTTACAGAGCAGACGGCTGAAGAAGCTCAGCCCGCCAAGACAGGAGACAGGGGTCGCAAGTGAACGGCGCAACGCGAGCCCGATCTGGCAGACATCACGACATCCGCTATTGACAACAAACTTCCGTCTCCGAGACAGCACAACAGAGCCGACTCGACTTGCGAAGCGTCATCATGGCTCTGCCACAAGACCATATTCGAGCGATAGATCAGCTGCGATCGCGCCTCGCGCAATTGTCTTCCTCGATAGCACATCTCAAAGGCACCCTCGAGTCCAATGACCCGCTTCCATCATGGTAGGTCTTGATAGCTGCCCGTCTCATACGCTGATATGACATTCTCGATTATTATCATACTATTGTCATGTCTGGCTCGATGCTAAAGGTAAGTACGCAGGCCTACACTCCAAGCTGCCTCAACGGCTCTAGGTGCGCATATGGGGGAGCTTGCTCAGACATTGAACGCGCAACGTCAACTCTTCACTTCGCTTCACCCATATCCTCTGCCCAGCTTTCCAGGAAACACGCAAGAAGGGCTCCTGCAGCAATTGCTACGGAAGAAGCCTGAGCCGAGAGCCGAAGAATGGATCGAGGAGACCTTGAAGATCGATGCGGAGGAAAGCAAGGCAGATAATGGCATCGGTGCTACTCGGGGTACTGTAGCGGTTCTAAGCGGTGAAGAGACGAGGGATCTGTGGGAGTGGGCCGGTGCGACCACTGCTGGGAAGATTGAGGAGATGGTTGACAAGGGCCTGTTCGAAGATGACTACAGCATCAAGGAGCGGAAGGAAGGCGTAAAAAGTGTCGTGACTGGGCTCAAGAGACAACTTGATGACAGCAGCTCGACAGGCGGGACACCTAAGAGCGAAGAGGACGTCAAGATGGAGGACGAAGAGGAGTCCAAGGAGGATCAGAAGCTCACCGAGATTGGTCTTGATCCCTCCAAGCCTCCAATGCCGCTGGAGCAATTGCTGCGGCTAGAAAGCGGTGCGTGAGCTAGCTCTCAGGCAGCATGTGATGTCACGTTTCTGGAGCTAAACGCATCACTTCCGGTCTGCTGCTATTGTCAGAACTAGCTACTTGCGTCAGTTATTGTGGACTCACATGAAAGTCTGACGCACGGGCCGCTCAGTGAGAGATGCCTTGCCACGTTAAAACCAGCCACTTTCTTGCTTCGTTCTCTTTCTCTTCCACCATCACACACACAGCGATTGCAGCCTCCCGGTTGAGAAGGACTACTAAGAATCCTTACAGCAGGCCAAGATTATCAGAACCACCATCTAGAGACGAGGATCGACAGGCATACAGGGCTAGCCATACAGCACTGCCGTCGTCATGGGCTGGGCTACAATCGTCAATGGTGTACTAACACACACCAGCAAGGCGGATCAAGACAGAGTCGCAGCTCTGTTCGAGAAAGAAATTGAATTGTGGAAGCTCCAGACCTTCGACACATTCACACTCTGGATCGCAATTCGGGGTGCACCAGACGCCAGCAAGGTCTACGACCACGGACAGTTCCTTGGGTACGACACGTACAGCATCGAAGTTTGGGGCCGAGAGGCAGATGTGGTCCGCGTCGAACTTGACAAGAATGGCAAAGTGCAGATCAAGACTCCCGGCCGATGGCTGAGCGTCGCCGCTTACATGGACACGAAGCCGTTGCCTGAGGTTGTCAGATGGTCCGTCACTCCGGGAAAGTTGAGCGACGATGATAAGCAGTCCATGTGGGACAGACAGTGGGACTGGGTAAGCTCAATCAATGGCACTGCGTATACCTGGCAATGGATGGATATGCTGACCACATAAACTACAGTGGCAGAATCGTAGCAAGACTCTCCACAAGCATTTCGACTTCCCTCGATTGCCAGCTGAGCTTCGCGAGACCATCTACTCTCACGCATACGACGTTACCGTCCGACCATACACAATCTCGAAGTGCTTTCCCTTCGCCGCCCGCTCTCCGTTCGCAATTCCAATCCAGCGCACTTCACTCCTGCTCCTCAATCGACTGTACTACAAGGAAGCAAGCCACGTCCTCTTCAAATGTGCAACTTTCAAGGTCAACACCAGACAAGTCTTGCAGCGCCTCACCTGCAACGACCTCGTCGGGTCTCGAATCACCAAAATTGAGCTTAGTCTCAGCCACGAAGACTTCCTGAAGCTGTTCCGCTTCAAGGGCGACCCAAAATTCTGCTCCCACCCGCCTAAGACTGCCCTGGCCCTGCGCTACATGGTCAATCTTGCGAACTGTAAGTACAAAAGGCATCACTCCGCCCGACGACAGCAGCTGTGGCCGTCATGTTACAGACAGTAGGCTGGTCCTAGCCTTTGCCCTTCGAGCGATCTTTCCGAAACACACGCTGACAGTCTTGCCCTTCGCTTTTAGTGACCATCGACATCGACGCCCCAGCGCGTACATCAGTTTCGTCCCCGTCCTTTCCCACGGGCCGTCGCGTCGCCTGTCAGGATAAGGCTGTTGACTACATTCTCGGTGCCGCAGCGCCATTCATCAACGTAATCAAGAACGTCAAGGTCACGGGGTACGCCAAGACCAAAGTCAAGAAAGACTTTGAAGCGTTCTGTACCGCGGAGAGGAAGTTCTACGAGTCGTGGTGCAATCTGGCGGAGTTCAACAATTGCGTAGAGGAATATGATCAGTGGATGGAGGACGATGGTGGCGTGAGCTTGGATGCGCAGGGCGATGGCGATGCTGATGGCAAGGAGGATGTGGGTGGCGATGATGCGGAGGAGTCCGAGTGGCCTCCAGTATGCCGCTGCGAGACGAGCTGCGAGTATGGGTCTTGGAAGGCTGAGTGATACTCGGGAGGCGGAGACTCGAGTCTCGAGAGACGGCCATTTCGGTTGGATCTTTTTGTAATGAGAAACAGCATATGAATCAGGCCCTTGCCGTCGGTGATACGAATCATGGCTCTAGACACCGACTGTTTCCATCTGTAAGAGCGGACCGTGGTCGCCAGCTCAAAGAAGCACCTTCAACAAGCGCAACATTTGCCAGAGTCAGGTCAGCAGTGAACAACAACAAGGGCTCATGACAAGGTCTTCACCACCCAGTGCCCCGTGATCGCAGGTAGATGTCAATGTGATAGTCGAACCCAACGAGAATGGAAGGCATCGTCCAAAAAACAATACACAAGATGTCACGAAACGCGAGTGCATTCGGCGTAGAAGGCAAATTCTCACTGACTGCGGCTCACATATCTAGCGGCTTTGCGGTCTGGCCCATCGTCTTCTGTAGCTTGCCACTGTCGACGCTGCGACTTGTCAGTACTCCTCCGCCCGAAAGAGAGACGATTTCGACTTACGAAGGCGCCTGGCCGTCCAGCACTTCAATGTCCTTTACCTTCTTCTTATCACTCCTCCATGCCATGAACCATGAGCCCTCGAACAGCTCATCAATCTCTTCCAAGCTTTGGCCAGCAGTCTCGGGAACAACGAGATACACGTAGACCAAGGACACAAAACACCAATTGCCCGAAGCTTAGACCGGGGATCTCAGGTGTGGATGTACATATTCTTTCCTCTACCGAAGCATTGCCGAAAGTGATCGAGCCTCATCGAGGACTTCGCAGTCGTATTTTTGGAATGCCCGAGCGTCCGAACGCGAATCGCTGTGCTCATCAAGGGAGTAGACCGCTGTAGCGCGATATGATGCAGTCCGAAACCCGTTGGCCGCAAGACAGCCTTGCAACTCTTATAGCATTGTTGATGTATCGCTGGGTGTGATCGAGCAGAAGTGGTGGAGGTGTTGGAGATGCTGTGCTGTGGAGCGTGGGGCAATACATACTGTACGGTACCTTAGCGTCCCGAGTTTGTTCCCAGGGGGACCTGTACGTCTGCAACAACACGAGGCGGCCAAGACATGCCAAGATGCATCTACGTAGGGAAAGTCTGCGCAGGCGCAGGTTCGCCGACGGACTGCATGTCACCATCTCCTTGCCATCTTTATCCCCTCCCAAACACATCCGCTCGTTTGTCACCTGTTGTTGCGACCTGAGCGAGCGAGCGAGGTTCCATCAGTGACCGTCATCAGCAGCGCAATAATCGTCAGCCTCCCGGTCGTTGACAGCGCCGAGTATTTCGGCTCCGCCACCTCCTGCACAGCAACGGCGACGGCGACGGCGACGGCTACTGTAGTGAGCGCGCTCTACCAAACCCGAACCCACACCTCCGTTGCGAGTTCGCACTTCCATATCGCCTGCCGGCACAGCGAGGGAAGCAGCGGCGACGACCACTCTTCGCGCTTTGTTCCGACCCTCGAGGCCCAGTAGGCCGACGTCGTGAGCAGCAAATACCAACTCTCCTGCGAACACACTACAATGCGCACAACAACGCTCCTCGGCAGCGCCCTGCTGGCAGCGCGCTCTGCACTTGGCATTGCGCTCGATTTGAAAGACCCCAACTCAATCAAGTCGGCTGCGCGAATAACCGCCGATGGCATGATGAAATGGTACACTGGCAACAAGACCGGTGGTATCCCAGGTCTGCTTCCAGGGCCATACTACTGGTGGGAGGCTGGTGCCATGTTTGGCGCCATGATCGATTACTGGTACTATACTGGCGATGCCACATACAACGATGTGGTATCGCAAGCGCTCTTGTTCCAAGTTGGACCTGACGACAACTACATGCCTCCCAATCAGTCAAAGTCTCTCGGAAACGATGATCAGGCCTTTTGGGGCATTGCGGCCATGTCGGCAGCAGAAACCAATTTTCCAAACCCTCCAGAAGACCAGCCTCAGTGGCTGGCATTGGCACAGGCTGTTTTCAACTCCCAAGCGCTGCGATGGGATACCACTTCATGCGGAGGAGGACTCAAGTGGCAGATCTTCACGTTCAACAACGGATACAACTACAAGAACTCCATCTCGAACGGCTGCTTCTTCAACCTCGCTGCACGCTTGGGCTTCTACACCGGCAACACAACATACTATGATTGGGCAAACAAGATGTGGGATTGGACTCGTGCAATTGGTCTCATGAGTGACAAGTACTACATCTTTGACGGCTCGGACGACAATCTGAACTGCACTGAGCTCAACCATATCCAGTGGAGCTACAACGCTGGTGTGTACATGTACGGAGCTGCTGTCATGTGGAATGTGGTATGTATTGTCGTGATTACAGGGTCCATCTTCCTTTACTGACCATGCCTCTAGACTACTGGCGCTGAACGGGACACCTGGCGTCAACGAGCCCAGGGCCTGCTCGAAGGCGCTGCTCAGATCTTTTTCAAGGACAATGTCATGTACGAAGTCGCTTGCGAGCCCTCGAACAACTGCAACATCGATCAGCAGTCTTTCAAAGCCTACCTGTCCCGCTGGATGGCGGCATCAATCAAGGTCGCTCCATGGATGCACGACACTGTGTTGCCCCTTCTTGCGTCCTCCGCGCAAGCAGCTGCCAAGTCATGCACTGGAGGTGACGATGGTAAGACCTGCGGCACCAAATGGACCACCGGCAGCTATGATGGCGGGTATGGCGTCGGACAGCAGATGAACGCTCTGGAAGTCATTCAGAGCAACCTCATTGACAGCGTCCAAGGACCTCTCGGCAATAAGACTGGCGCGACGTCCATTGGTAACCCCAACGCCGGAACTGGAGGCGACGGCAACCCAGTCGCTCCACCTGGTAGAATCACAACAGCCGATCGCGCTGGCGCAGGCATTTTGACAGCATTGGTGCTCATCGGTCTGCTGGGCGGTGCATGGTGGATGGTTGCTTAGGTAAGGCAGAACACAGAAATGGGAAGAATTGCGGCGTTCAATTTGGATGAGGCGCTCCAGCCGTGTATATGTAGCGAAAGAAGCCACGTCGGCCGTGGATCGTCTTTCACATCAGTGCTATCTGGAAGCACGATAGTCTGGAAATGTCTAATGCCAGAGTTCGCGCGCGAGTTACGACTTTATGTTTTTGCTCTAGTTTGTATGCAAAGTTTTATCCACGAAAGAGTACTGTACGGCCAGACTTCTAGATCCTGCTATCTACCTCAAGGGCGTAACAGGTACCTTGCCATTCTTGTGCTGTGGCATGGAATGGAGATGACATGGAAATTCTTCATCAGTGCCAAGTGTGTGCGCTCATTGAAGAGACGACTCATAGCGTCAAGAAATTACGCACACAAAGGAAGATCGAGAGCTCGATTTCATTCGCGTCCATTCTTCGAAAGACTATGTAAGACTCAAGGAGCTCAAGCGCTGCAGTGAGGGCCTCAGCGTCTCCTTAATCCTCGAATGCGTTGAATCCTTATGCGTCTGACCGTGCAAAGCTCCCACATGTGTTCTTCTGAGCCTTCATGCTTCCGATGCTCCATCAGTTTTCGGAAGTTCTTCTTCGGTCCAAGCGAATTCAAATCCCTGCTTTGTACACTGAAGCTATGCGCTGCGTCTTGTTCCTGATTACCCGGCTGGCCTGTTGACCTGTCCACACAACGTGACTCTAATCGAGATTGGCCTCATCAATCAATCTCAATGGCGTTCTCGGCTGGTACAACGAACGCCGAGACCTCATCATCTGTCTTCTGCAAGGCTTTGATGACGTTCGTGAAGATAGCCTCCATGACCACAGGAGGCACAGCATCGCCAACCATGCCCACTGCTTTGGTCCACGGAGTTCGGCCATTCCTGCTCTCAATTCGCATCTTGTAAGTATCAGGGAATGTTTGAAGACGCATGACCTCCCGTATGGTGAATTTACGTCGGCCATTAGGGTGCAGTGCAGAAGGGCCTGCACGATCGACAATGTGCTGCAAGACCTTATTGCCGTCTGCCGCTGGCAGATTCCTGGGCTTCATGCGCTGCTCCTGGCGCATCTGCTGTGGGTTGTGGTTTGTGGCATCTGGCTTGATGTTCGAGATTGCCTCATTAACCGTCATGAATGGTCTGAGGCCTGGACCACTCGTCTCGGCTGGAAATTCAGGGAGTAGCTGTCCTGGACTGCAGAAAATCAGCGGACGTTATTGGAACATTGTGCATCAGGTACTTACCAAGCTGCGATGACAATCAAACGTTTTCTTCCTTGTGGGTTGCGGTGATTGACAAAGTTTAGCACTCTCCACTCCACGTCCCAGCCCATACTGGTAAACTGATTAATCCAAAGCTGCCAATAAGGTTTGTTGACCCTTTTCCACAGTAGACCTGGGGCTTGCTCGAAAGTCATGACGCGACATTGTGTCTTGCGTGCAGCCTCTGCTACCATGAATGATGCAGCAATATTTTCTTCGTCGTTCTTTCCATCGACGGTGTGCTGCATTGACCAATAGCGACATGGGCACGAGCTGTGCAAGACGTCGACTGTGAGCACTTCGCGATCTTGCAGAAAGTCGGCGACGTTCATCTGCAATGTGCGGCAGGTCGGGTGGTTCAATTGATGCGTTTCAGCGACATGCTTTTCTCGTTCCACCCCGTATTTCACATTCAAGCCGGCCATGCGAGCGCCTTCGCTAACCCCGCCCATGCCACAGTATAGATCGGTGATGGCGTATTTCTTCTGCAGCGGTGGGTACAATCGTGTGAGCCCACCTCGAGGTGTAGGCCCTTGGTGGGGCGGGCTGAAAGTTGATGGGCCTGCTTCAACCTCTTCAGAGTATGTCGTTCTGTGATATTTTGTCACTCGACTGAGAGGAAGGCCTGACGCCTTAGCCTCAGGTGCAAAGACATCTGTCATCTCGTGACTCTCTTCAGTGAAAGTCCGCTTTCGCTTCTTGGTAGGCTGTACTTTTGTCACAACAACCTCATCATCAGAGTCATCAATCGTAATAGTGCTGCGACGCTTGCGTGATGGCTCCGGCGCTGGACCTGAAGATTCTGTTGACATTGCGGCGCTGCTCGACGCGCGCTGTCTGCGCATCAGGCCCCTCTGGTACGTCCTCAGAAGTTGAACACGAGAAACGCTGTATCCGGGATCGGCCTCAGCGGGCGCCAGTCTTCGGAACACCTCGCGCTTAACTTTGCCATCACTCTTGTCGAAGTGTCGTACTGATGCCCATCTCACCACCAATCGTGCTTCCTCATTGATCACAGCACTATTGTACACCCACCTCGGATTGTCATATTTGTCGAGAACCAACTGTCCGTTGTTGTCCCTTTTCATCTGTGACCAATTCTCAGGACATGGCACCGTCCGGAATGAATGCGCGGGAAAAATGGCATTCGTGAAGATCACTTCTCGAATTCTTTTGACGAGCGATAGAGAAACCTCTTCCATGCCGGTCACAAAGTTTGGGCGTGAGTCTCGCAATGGCACTAAAAGTATAGCCACCAGCTCGTTGATGTTCTTCTCGAACATGTTGTCCATATGGCGGCAACACTTAAGCAGAATGCCACGGAGCTTGAAAGCGTGTGGTTGATAGCCAAGGGCGCGTTCGCGGATGATGTGCTCAATTTTGAAGAATGTGCCGTTATGCAGCTCGACCGTGTCTCCTGGGCCGATTCGCGCGCCATCTTCAATTGTTGCGAAGTCCGCTCGGTCATGGCCAGGCGGCACCGCTGTGCGTGAATGTCTGATGTGCCGAAAGAATTCTTCTTCTGTGAGCTGCTCTACAGCATCTTCGCCTTCATTGTCGTACTCTTCAGCGTCTGGAATTGGTGGGATCGAGCTGCTGTCATCTTCATCGTCGCTTGTGAGGTCTATGATGTTGAAAGGTGCATCATCTGCAGGCTCAGGTGTGGGAGAGGTGTCCATGAGCCTTGACTTGGGCTTCGGGACCGGCTTCGATGGCTTGAGAAAGCGACGCATGGTGGCGGAATTCAGCGAAACATATGTAGCGTCTGTGTCTCAGGCGCGCGACCGCTATAGGCGGCAGACCGCAGGTGATGTCGTTGTTGGTGACAAAGAACTGAGGCGAAAGAAGGCGAAAGAAGGCGAAAAGTGAAGTTCACTTCTGGGAAAGCAAGGGTGCATGGAAGACTGCAGGTGATGTTGCACGAATGGCTAGCGGCTGCTGCCATCACTACAACAGCCATGCAACGGTCGTGCATCTCGCGCCTGCCTGCAGATGGGTGGAAGGTGTCTGGACTCTCGCTCAGAGATGCGAAGAGAGATTGACTCCCTCATTTCGTTTCTTCTCTGCTGCTGCTATTCCATCACGGGCTCGAACTGCCTGAGGCGTGGTAGCCTCGAAATGCTTGAGGCGTTCTCCTTATTGCCAAAGTTCCCATCTGCAAATAGCCGCATGATGAGGCAAACGCAGCGCATCATCGCCGCTCTTTATGTGGCTTCTGACATGGGTATGTCGGCGCATTGTGCAAACGGGAAATGGCATTGAGGTGCGCTTGTGCTTGTTCGAAAGGCGTGTCTTGGCCATCTCCTAGCCTGCATGTGATTCTCGGGCCTCTCTGTGCAGATATGGAGCATTCAGAGCATGTCGAGCGCAGATGCGTAGAAGGCTGCTCAAGCTTGACAATGGAGTGAAGCGTGAAGTCAGCAGCTCCCCTGCACCTGCCCTGCCCTGCCCTGCACCTGCCCTGCACCTGCACCTGCACCTGCCCCCGGCTCGCTTACGCACTTGCCGTGCCGAGCGCTCCGATCCAGGGCTCAACGGCCGAGGGGTCTTTGAATTTTCTACCTTGACCTTGAACGCTCTCGCAATAAAATGTATCCACGCGACGGACAGAGACGTAAGCGCGAAGCTGCCGCCAGTAGTCATGTTCCTTCGCGCATAATTACCACCTTCGATCTCGAGCACGCGACCGCGCAGCCTCCAACCTCTCTCTCCCTCCCTCTCTCCCCGGACATCACTCAACCACCTTTAGACAAGAAACTAGCGAGGAAGAAGGTGAGTTTGAGGACGCTTGAATAGACGTGCGCAACCTGCGTTCCGCAAGAGCTTGGTGATGATCTGCAAGTATACCTTATAGATGTTGTAAGTTGCCTTTGGAGTCGTTGAGTCGGTTGGAGAATAGAACTGACAACCGAGCAGAGACTTCGGATCCTGTGTGATCGAGAAACTACTCGTGACTGAGAGAGCTCAAGTCAATCTGCATTCCACTGTGGCTAGACTTTTCATGAGCATTTGCTGATGCAGCACATTGCACAGACATATCCAGCCTCGTCCCATAAATCGTCAAGATGTGTGGCATTCTCGCTGTCATTCTAGCCTCACAATCCGCAGATGCTGCGCCAGAAATCCATCAGGTAAGGCAAATCTGACTTGATTCTTGGATATTTGCGCTGCTTTCCATGCTGACAACCCCAGGCCCTGTACTACCTCCAACACCGAGGCCAAGATGCTTGCGGAATCGCGACTTGCTCTAAGGGCGGCAAAATCTTCCAATGCAAAGGCAACGGCTTGGCCTCGAAAGTCTTCCAGGAAGGCAGGAGAGTCGCAGACTTGCCAGGCTACATGGGCTTGGGCCATTTGAGATATCCGACCGCGGGCAGCAGCGCCAACGCCGAAGCTCAGCCATTTTACGTCAATTCGCCATACGGCATATGCTTCACCCACAACGGCAACCTGATCAATGCTCCAGAATTGAAGGAATACTTGGACAAGGAGGCGCATCGACACATCAATACCGAGTCCGACAGCGAACTCATGCTGAACATCTTCGCCGACGAATTGAACGAAACCGGAAAAGCCCGCATCAACTCCGCCGACTGCTTCCGCGCACTCGAGCGCATGTACAAGAGGTGTAAGGGTGGCTGGGCTTGTACAGCCATGCTTGCTGGCTTTGGCTTGATCGGCTTCCGTGATCCATACGGCATTCGCCCAATGGTGCTTGGCGAGAGGGAGTCTCTTGATGTTGAAGGCGGCAAGGATTACATGATGGCATCTGAGTCTGTCGCTCTCAGTCAAAACGGATACGGGAAGTTCAAGGATATCCTGCCAGGTCAGGCCGTCATCATCGAGAAAGGCAAGGCACCACAATTCCACCAAGTCAGCAAACAGATGGACTACGCACCCGACATCTTCGAATATGTTTACTTCGCACGTCCGGAAAGTGTTATCGACAATATCTCTGTCTACCGCGCGCGCCAGCTTATGGGCTACAGCCTCGCTGAAACGATCAAGAAGCAATTGGGCCTGGAGCAATTGAAGGAGATTGATGCAGTCATTCCTATCCCAGAGACTTCACTCGTGTCTGCATATGCTGTGAGCAAGCATCTCAAGATTCCATACTGCCAAGGCTTCGTCAAGAATCGCTATATCTTCCGGACGTTCATTATGCCTTCACAAAAGGCACGACAGCGGGGCGTACGTGCGAAGCTCAACGCTATACCACTGGAATTTGAAGGCAAGAACGTGCTGCTCGTCGACGACAGTATCGTTCGTGGCACCACTTCTCGAGAAATCGTCATCATGGCGAGAGAAGCTGGCGCAAAGAAGGTCTTTTTCAGTAGCTGTGCGCCGCCTATCACGCACGCGCATATTTACGGGATTGACCTGGCGAGTCAGGATGAGCTCGTGGCTCATCAGAGAACAACCGACGACATCTCCAAACACATCGGCGCAGACGGTGTCGTCTATCAAGACATACACGACCTGCAAGCGGCTTGCGCAAAGGATAGTCCGCGTCCTGACCAGAAGTTCGAGATCGGAGTCTTCTGCGGCAAGTACGTAACGCCAGTCGATGATGGCTATTTCGAGCATCTTAACCGCATCCGCGGCGAGACGAAGAAAATGAAGGTCATGGAGAAAGCCATGCAGAACGTGTCTCTCGGGACTGCCAGCCAGAAGGATCTGAAGATGGCAGTCAATGGCGTGGAGGTGACTGATGCAGGCGAAGTCGTTGCCCGGGATTCTGGCTCTGATGGCGAAGGACGTGTGCCAAAGCGAGAGCGAGTCGATCGGTTGTCTCGCGGCAACAGCTTCTCACGACCGACCATGAATGGGGATGGCGAGAAGCGGGACTCTCAGGACGTTGCTCTCCATAACATCAATGATCACGACGGCCAGGCATGATTGAACGCAATGACCTCTTACGCAGGCATGAAAACTTGGGCGGCGTTTCCGGGGAACTGGGTGCTACGGCTTAGAAGGCGTCGCAAGACAGGTAACGGAGGATATTTGGTTTGCTGCTGGCAAGAAGTTGCCCTTCTGCTTCATGACTTCGATCAGCGCCTTTGAGGCCGCAGCCAGATTGTTGTTGAGACCTCAAAAAGATGAAGTGCAACACGATCACGTCTTTGCCGAAATCACATGTGTGCTTCCTTCGGAGATCAGGCGAGATTGGGCGCATTGTCCGACGCTGCACCAATCGCGCTGCCGAAATGCGAAACAGCACCCTGGTCGCTTGACACTTGGTGTGTTAATTGACATTGTTTATATGGCTTCAGGAAATACTTTGCATTGCGACATCTGATGGACGGCACTAACAGCTCCGCCTCTATTGCGGAAAATTGCTTGGACGATCGATGCTAGCGTGGCGTGGCTCAAACTCTCTTATAAGGGCATGCCATGGGTAGGTCCTGCGGTCTGAGTCTTTACGTGAGACGACGCTGGGACATCACTTGGACGGGCCGGCTAGATGGGATCAAGGAATCTTGCAATACAAGAGTAAGTCAAATCAGTCTTGTGCGTCTTCTTCACTCCCATCAACAGATTCTTTTATCCTATCACGCCTGCAAGCCAGGTAGTCATCCATTCAGTTCCTCAAAAATTCCATACTCACGAGAAGAATGCATTTCTCACTTCGACTCATTACATTCGTGCTGAGCACGAGAGCTCTCGCAGCCCCTCAAAACTTCAACAAGAGGGCCAGCAACGACACCAAGCTCCAGTTCATTGGCATCAATGAGAGCGGACCAGAGTTCGGAGAGGCCAACCTGCCGGGCACTTATGGAACGGACTACATCTGGCCAAATCTCACCTCAATCGACACTTTCATCTCGAAGGGCTTCAACACCTTCCGAATCAACACTCTCATGGAACGCATGGTTCCAGACGACATGACCGGAGCACTGGACAAAGCCTACATGGGAAATCTCACCGAGACAGTCAACTACATCACCTCCAAGAAAGCCTATGCAATGATCGTCCCGCACAACTACGGACGCTACTACGGCTCCATCATTGAATCGACCTCCGACTTCAAAACTTTCTGGACGAAAATTGCTACGCCATACGCCGATAATGATCTCGTCATCTTCGACACAAACAACGAATACCACGATATGGCCGGCTCCCTGGTCGCAGAACTCAACCAAGCCGCAATCGACGGCATCAGAGCTGCAGGAGCTACTACGCAGTACATCACGGTAGAAGGAAATGCTTATACTGGTGCTTGGACGTGGACGAATACGGCTGGCACGGATGGCAAGACCAATGCCGAGACCATGGGCAGCTTGACTGATCCTTCTGATAAGATCATCTACCAGATGCACCAGTATCTTGACAGCGATGGAAGCGGGACGTCAGAGACCTGTGTAAGCGCCACGATTGGATCGGAGAGACTTGAGCTTGCGACGCAGTGGTTGAGGGAGAATGGTAAGACTGGACTTATTGGAGAATTCGCCGGTGCTGTGAATGAGGTGTGTGAGAGCGCTGTTAAGGATATGTTGAAGTATATTTCTGAGAACAGTGATGTCTGGAGTGGATATGCTTGGTGGTATGTATCATGATTCATTCTTCTTTGATGCCGGTCTTGTGCACTGACTTGTTCTTAGGGCTGCGGGTCCATGGTGGGCGCACTATATGTTTAGTATTGAGCCTGCTGATGGCCCGGCGTATTCGACATACGTGGATATGCTTAGGGGAGAATGAGATTGATTTGCACGATGTTCAGGTTGGAGCACCTAATTGTATACGGTTTGGAGTTTGTATGATCAATTCGCACTTGTCTGCAATAATTGCGAATTCCAACGATATCGGTCTTTCGTGTCTCCGACTCACATATCGCAGTATACCACTGGTCCAGCGTTGAAGAGCTGGGCGCAATACTGACGTCCGCTCGCAGAGGCAACACTCGACGTAGGTCTTGAGCTACTGCTAGTTGTTGTAGTCGATGTGGTCGTTGTAGTCGAAGTAGTCGTTCTAGTAGTCGATGTAGTCGTTGTAGTCGATGTAGTCGTTGTAGTCGATGTAGTCGTTATAGTCGATGTAGTCGTTGTAGTCGATGTAGTCGTTGTAGTCGATGTGGTCGTTCTAGTCGTTGTAGTCGATGTAGTCGTGGGATATACCAGTCTGTAATCTTGGGCGTTATCGAAATTTGCGTATCGGATGGCTTGATCGAGGTGATGTCCTGTCAGCCAGTCTCAACACCCAAGGAGAGCTTGACTATTTCTCACCTGATACCAAGGAATCGAGTCTACCTCCGATCCAGGTCGAATTTGCGTTCTTAAGATAGCATGTGCCGGCACCAACACCATTTCGGCCTCCTTGATATGTGAAAGCAGTGCAGCCCGCGTACGAATTACAGGCCGAGAAGCAGTCATTGAAGGAGTCTGCAACGCTGGTACGGGCAACCGATTCTGACTTGTCCGTAAGCTCTGGCTTTGATTTATTCCAATGTCGACGAACCTGAGTATGTGTCTCGTGCGCAGCCCAAGACATACTGATAGCCGGATGTATCTCTAACAACATGCAGGTCCTGAGCTGGACACCTGTGGCCTGGGATCAGTGTCCCTCAATCCCGAGCTTAGTTGACATTACACACTGGTACGAAGGTGGCGTCGGCGGATAGTTTGGTCTTTTGATTGCACTAACGAGCCGCGAGTTGCCGCCGGAGAAAGAATTGTATCCATTGGAAATTGGAGCTTTATAATAGCAGTATCCCGAGCCCGTTCCGTAGTCTTCGTTACTCCCGGCGAAGGTGAAGCCAGCACATGGTGCGCATTCTTCATATCCCACGCAATTGGTAGAACCTTGAGGGATATTCAGTCTTCTTAAAGAAAAACAGAAGTAAACCGAATTGCCCGACTTACATATTGTTAGGCATGCGTTGAAGCCCTGGGTAGTGAATTCGGCTCGAAATGCCCCGCCGTCCGTGTCTGATCCACATCTTAAGAGGTATTCTATACCGTTCGAATCGGTGATCCATGTTCGGTCATTGTTCGCCTGAGGGTGGTCAGACTTGTCTCCTTACGATTTGGATGTACTCACACAACTGAAAGAGCTCTGAGCGAGAGTAAGCGCTGTCAAGCTGACAAGAGCCAGCAAAAGTGTGAGCAGGCTCATCGTGCCTTCGGAATTTGATGGAAACAACGGCCGTTAGATATGATACAAATATATGTGCACTCGCAACTGAAGATCGCTAGTGGTCCCTCATCTCAAGGAGGATGGTGAGGAAGTGCTGTCTCGCATCCCGAGGAGAGGAATGTGTGCATAACGATTGCGTGAGCAGATCTGGGGTCATTCGATGCTTGGCTATGGTATGAAGGCAGATGCGCGGCAATCGCAGTGGGCCGCGTTGTTGGTGCCCACATAACCAGTCATACGTGCCTGCACATTCATCGCGGCAGCGCACGCATATGACACGGCAGAGGGGAGTCGGAGGAATGGATGGAGAAAAGTAATTGTACCCTTGCCCTTGCGCGGCAGACTTGGCGCTTGCCGTGGAGTTCGCATGCCGTCGAGACGCGGCTGCTTCTCCCTGGAGACAGGAGTAAGACCCAGACCCAGCTTTTCCTGAGACGGCTGAGTAGTGCGCGCCGCGGGGCACATCTTGGGACTCGGAGGCAGTCACGAAGACGCGATCGATGCTGGACGGGAGTCTGACACACCCAGCTGAGAGCAAGCGCAACTCTGCTCCCCAGTCAGCAGTGTGATATATCAGCAAGTTCGTGGCGAAAGTCTAAATGCAGGCAAGTGCCGTCGCTGTTCTTCTTCGTGCTCCTGCAGCTGCTTCACGCCAGACCACACGGCAACCACATGAGCCTCCGAAGTATTTTCCTGAGGGCTAGCCTTTACATGCAACAACAGATGATCATCTCCCGGCTGACGTAGCCTGACCTGCGAGAATCCGGCTTGGATCAACTCCGTGGTCTCAGGAGATCGCAAGAAGTTGTTCTGATACTCAAGCATAGCACAGAACTCAGCTGATTCTCAGAAGAACAGGCATTCGCTTGGTCAACTGAAGAAGTTCTTCGGTCTCTTTTCACTGTCCACTCCATTTGAGCCGGGTTTGCCACGTTTCCGCTTGGTGGTGCTACCTTGCATTAGTGGATGTAATGGCTTTGATGCCGGCGTGGCTTCTTTGACGATCTCCTTGATAGTTTGTCTCGACAGACATCCATCAATATGCGCATTGAAAATGCCCTCCTCAGCTCGTTGCGGCAAGCTGCAGATCGGACAATTCCATTGCTCACGTGGCTTTGGTGGTATTTCGTCTTTCCGAGCCTCCTCCTCGAGTAGAGACCGCCACGCGAAGCCGTTGGCGTATCTGCCATAGTCGTGTGGGCCTTCTTCTGCCCGAGACTGCTGCCCTTCTCGCTCCGCATGTTCCTGGGATAGTCGCTCTACCTCGAGTAGTTCTTCTCTCTCTAGTCGAACAGCCTCTTCAAACTCGTCGTCTGGCCATTTCTGCCAACCTTCCGCATCGACCTGGACTTTAGTGGCAGGTTCCTCGCCATTTGATGGCTCTGAATTCGCGTGCCTGGCGCGTCCGAAGAAGTCGGTCGGGCCTTTCTTCATGGACACTAGGTGCGTACATCGTAGGCCCATCAAGCGCAATTTCATGCCAGGAAACTCTTTTTCCAATTTCTGCAACATCGCGAGTCCATAATGATACAAGTCATCGGCCGTATGAACAGCCTTTGGTGGTTGGATCTGTCTGGTGAAGACCTCATACGTGTGCAGCTTGATCTTCAGGCAAAGTGTTCGCCCTTTGAACTCGGTCCGCTGCAGATCTTTCTCGAGTTCTTCCGCCGTCTTTCGTAGCTTGTCTCTCAATTCCTTCGGATCCGACATATCGTGGAATGTAGACTCTGTCCCTACTGATTTCCTCTCGTATTCTGCCGCAGGCCGCACATCAGTCTTTCCCAAGCCGAGGTGGACGCCGATCAGGAACTCGAATGTTTTGTCCCCAAAGAGAGCATTGAGATAATGCCTTTGCTCGTAGATGTCGCCACAGGTCTTGACTCCAATTGCATCGAGTTCACGCTCCAATACGCGGCCGATGCCATTGACTTTGCGAGTCGGAAGATCTCTCATGAAGTTCATGATCGCGGTTCGTTCGGAGGCCAATTTGAATTGCCCATTGGGCTTGTTCTTGTTGCTGCAAATCTTGGCCAATTTCGCATTAGCAGCTATGCCAGCTGAAATGGTAATCATGGTCTCTTCGAAGACTTGGGCGCGCATCTGGCTCACGGCGTCTTCGGGGCTAATGTTGTGCTCCTCGCAGTAGTTCGTGATGTTGAGATATGCTTCGTCGATCGAAGCCGACTCAAATCTAGGGTCGTACTGCTCGAGGACAGCGCGGACCTCCTTCGCTTTCGCGGTATATTTCTCAAAGTTCAATGGAATATGAATGAGCTGCGGACAGAGCTTGTCCGCAACGAAGCCTGCCATACCAGATCTACAGCCGAATTTCCTTGCTTCGTAATTACAGGTAGTTAAGACGCCTTTGCCGACGGCGAAAGGGACATTTTTGAGCTCCGGATGGTCCAGTTCCTCAACGGCAGCATAGAAAGCATCACAGTCTATGTGAACTATGGCCTGACTCAAGTTTCGACTGTATTCCAGCTCTGTAATATAATCATCTGCCTTCTTCAACTCCTTTTTCAACCCGCCGGCCGCCTCGACGCGCTGCAAGTCGCGCTTCCTGGCCAGTATACTGTTGATCTTAATCGTGAGAGTCTTGTCCTTGTTTTCTTCATTGTTGAAGTACTTGCTCCCTTTCGATGCATTGTAGATGATCTCTGAAACCTTCTTTTGATCTACGCCGTCCTGACCGCTCTTTGTGAGCGAAGGGCCGAGCAGGTGGTATTTAAGGGAATGGTGTTGGCTGGCGTCAGGCGCGTTGCCGCCACCATCGTGTTCACCAAGAGCGGAGGCGGCCCACTCGGGTGTCAGGTCTTGCGCGGAGCCATGCTGTTCTGGCTCGTCATGCTCGCCTATCATCGTCACACATTTGCAGGTGCAAGTCGTGAACGCTGGATTGTAATTTGTGGCCAGGAAGCATGCCAAGTCAAGGTGCACGATCTCGGATGCGGCTCTGCAGGTAACTTTGTTCTAGCGCGTTTCGGTGACAAGGATAGTCGCTGTGGGTCGCGAGCAAGCATCAACACTCACCAAACATTCGAGCGAAGGGTAATAATACTGTCACCCGACGACCCAGGCCCAAGCGTAGAGCGGCTGCCAACTTCCAAGATCTCACCACCCTTGAATACAGCCGTACGAAACGTGCGAAATTCGTGCTGGACAGCGGGCCTCGGGCGTTATACACTGCAAGACCTCAAAGCAACGCTGCCGGCGAAGCATCGGGATTCTCGCCATCTCATGTCATTCCGAGCACAGCGCTCACGCCAGAAGGGAAAGGGGAACGAACAAAGCGCACACACGTGACGAGAGAGTACCAGATTGTCCTGTCCGGCCGGCTGTATGGCAGCAACGGCGGTGACACGATTCTGGTGGTAGGGCCATGTCGTCCGACCGCAACACCAACAGCAATAACAGTCGCCCGCTGAAGCCCACCCTTGCGTCGACGAGAACTGCTGCTCCGCGAACCCCGCTCACGCCGCGCATCGCTGGGACGACAACTGGGTCTGCGACTGCGACTTCGACCACAGCATCACGCCCAACACCACGCCTTCCGAACAGAGGTGCAGGTTACCCCCAAGGAACACCCGTCAAGGATGCAGCGGGCGGAAATGTCACGCCGCGCTCGTCGGCAAGAAAGTCGAGAGTGGGAGGTGCGTCGCCGGCACAGGATGAGTATGGAAAGGAAGCATTGCCTGTAGGAGGCAGGCCATTGGCGGAGGGGCAAGGACGGGGCAGTGGTGTGAGTAGCCTGAGTCTGCCACTGGCACGGACAAGCAGACCGAACAGCGTCGTCAACGACAATGGAGCTAGAGGATTGCCCTCACCTTTGGTAATGCGATCGCCTGCTTTCGCGGATTCGACCGAAAGCATCGAGAGCCGCTTCTTCCATGCCAGTGAAGCAGCGAAGCAAGAATCCATGCCCAAAAAGCCAGAACTCAGAAAGACACCGACTTTCTTCTACGCTGATGGGCAGGAGGATAAGTCGGGTAAACCCATATCGCCTGTTCTCTCGGCTGTTAACGATCAACGCCCAGGACCGTTCATCAAACCAGAAGCATATCAGAGCATTCCTAAAAGTCCGCTTGTCCCTTCGCCGGCTCTTTCCAACGTGAGCACGTCTTGCTTTCCGCCCACATTGTCCAATCAATTACGTTCTCCATCTCCAAGTAAAGAGAACATCCACTTGTCTTATCGCAAAGGAGTCTCGCAAATATTCGGGACGCGGCCAGTGACCACCGCATCGCCAGCTCCATCAGATTCACAGGTGGAGAGTACTGCTGATGGAAACCGACGGCCCAGCTATGGTGTCCAGCATCGAAAGTCGACGAGTCTCTCGTCGATCACCTCAACCTCAAAGGCCAGAAGAAGGTCCAACACGTCACTTGACGTGAATCCGTCGCCCCTCCCTCAGGCTCCCGAGCATACAGCCGCAAAGGTAACGAGCAAAACTGCGAGTTCTCATATTGAGCTGACATCCATCGAACCCTTGGCTTCTCCTGCATTGATTGGCTCGCCTTCAGAGCTGGCACTGAGTCCCACCAAATCCGTTTCACAGCTTGCTGCCGATGCGCGGAGGGAACGGAAGGTTCTAGATTTGGAGATTTCGAACAGCTCGCTTATGGCCATCAATACTAGCCTTGAACGGGAGGTGAGAAGACAGAAGGCGGAATTGAAACGATTCAGACGATTGTCTCGAGCTGGTCGTTTCTCCTTGGCGCCGAGCGAGCGCTCTCCTCGGCGTCAATCGGAAGGTCTGAGTACTCTCAGCGAAGACGATGAAGATGCCGACTTATCTGGGCTCCTTTCGAGTCTCGCTGAGGATGATGGGTCTGATTCCGAAGATGAGGACAGCCTGTTGAGCAGCAGTGAGCCGCTTTCACCTACTTCACAACACAGTAGACAGCAAGACCGTCTGGCGAAAGACGAAAAGCGACTCCAGGTGGATCTTCAGCGTCACAAAGAACTGCTCGTGCAAAGCCAAGCGATGAATCAGAGCATTAAGCGTTGCATGTATGCAACTGAAGATATGATATCCGAGGGGAAGAAAGCCCTCCAATACCACGTCCGAGTGTCTGATGTCAAACTTGGCGGTAGAATCTTGACAGGATTTGAAGCAGAAGAGGAGGATGCAGACGACATCGAGGTTGCCGATGAGCTCGACTGGCACTCAGGTGACCGGGATTCTGGAGTCGAAGTGGAAAGTATCGACGCAGGTCGATTTGCGGAAGCGACGAATACCTCCGAACGTCCTGGCCGCCCACCAGATGCTGTGTCTTAGCCAGGCACACCTCTCGGTGTCAAGGTTCGCAACAAGACGAACACCATTCCTCGGCTTAGCATACGCAAGCCGCGCACTTATGAAGCAAGACCAAGTCTGGAATAAGAAGCCATGTGCTCTTTCCAAGGCGTGTACATAAAAATGATACCCACATTTGATTTTCGATCGACTGGTAAATGGCGTTGTATTGGTGGCTTGAGAAGGATTAGAATCACTTCAGCTGGACACAGAAACTCCTGATTTTGGCGTTGGACTTGCTAGAGATACCCATTGAAAGTTCTGGACACTCCGCTCGAATCAGAAATATCGAAATGCATCATACGGAAGTACCTGCATCTAGCGCAGGAACACTGCGTGGTACCACTCAGTGCCTCTGCACGCTTGTTCTACGTGCGCCAAATGAAGTCGAAGTCTATCCTCAGAGTTGACAGCATCGACCATGAGTCTTCACTTGTCAACTCCGGAGGCACACATGGTTGCACGACCATGTTTGAACGAAAAGCACGAGTCTGCCAATCCGTAGAGAGCAGGGCTCCATTCACTCAGCAATTCTCATCGTACAACAGCAAGAAGAAGCCGTCGCCGAAACAGGCGCGCTTTATTGTAGCATGCCGGCCATAAATCGTGGCAGACAGTTGAGAGTTGCGCAGTGCTCCATTCATGCTAACGCCACTGTATGCGAAGTGACAAGTAAATATTGAGAGCCATACGCCGAGCTGTTTGGTCTAAACGACAAGATTGTCTTCTGTCCGAGCAGCATGATTTCACGGAGCAGAGCCATATTACTGCCAGTATATATGGCCACTCGCCTGGCTGTGTCAGTGTGTCTGTCTCACCCTCCCGCGCTTCCACCCGCAGATCTAGAGTATCGATGAGCTCACCTCACACGAACACGTCTTGACACGAAAATCCCGGGTTCGTCAAGCGAAATAGATCGAGAACATGTGCTGACGATGAGGGAAGGTAGATAAGTAAACGGTCCCAGCCCGTTCTGTGCTGTGTTCTCATAAGACTTGGTCTACGGTCTGTGCACCTGCACCGTTGAGTATACCAGACATCTAATACAATTGATCGTCGTCTTTCACAGACAGGTCTTCACGTGTGAAGTCGCTTCCTCCCCCGGCATGGATATCTTCAATAGGCCATCCTTAAGGACCCTGTGCCTTGCTCTCACGACGCCGGTCCTTGGCTGTGTGGCAGTAAAACTTGTCTCTCAGTTGCTGATAGCAACAACGACTCCTGCTGTACCGAGAGGTCCTCGTATATATCGCGCGCCTAGTCGAAGACTGCTCACACCTGACGAGGAATGGACGATACCATCACCAGACGCATTTCCAGGCGGCAGGGACATTGACACTCCTTACGGGAATATCAGGTGAGCCCTATAGTCTTATCGAATCGAGATCGAGAAGCTGATTGAACGAGTAGAGCATACGAATGGGGACCAGAAAACGGTCGAAAAGTGATGTTCGTGCATGGGATCAGCACACCTTGCATTGCATTGGCCAAAGTCGCCAAGCTTCTCGTCAGGAAACGATGTCGAGTTCTACTCTGGGATTTACCAGGCCGTGGATACAGTGATTGTCCTGACCCAGAAGTATATCGTCAAGACATCAAACTCTTCTCAGCCCAGATGCTGGCGGTGCTAGGATCCTCCAAGCTCGACTGGATGAGTGGCTTCACGCTCGTTGGCTATTCTCTCGGAGGTGGCATTTCAGCTTCTTTCGCTTCCTACTACCCAGAGCTAGTGGAGAGTCTGGTTCTGATCGCACCTGGTGGTCTCCTACGACCAACAAGATTGAGTCTGAGCAGTCAAATCCTGTACAGCGGTGTCCTACCTAATTGGTTCGTCTACTACTGTGTCGACAAACGGCTTCGAATTGGAGGTTCGGGCTCTAATAAGCCGATGGCGAAGCTCAGACGAGCATCGCTAACGGCTGCCGTTGCAGAAGAGACTCCGGATGATGTTGACCCGCATGCTCCAGGCCAAGACAGTCTGTCGCCCATATTCGACGACAGACCTTGTATCACACCCAGCACAGCAGTGCAGTGGCAGCTGGATGTGCATCCAGGTTTTGTTCCGGCATTCATCTCATCAATCAAGTACGCTCCCATCCACGACGGCTGGGAGCGTTGGAGGCTCATTGGGAAGCGTTGTGAAGCGAAGAGGAAATCTCTCAATCCTGAGCCGAAGAAAGGGATGAAAAAAGTGCTTGTCATTCTTGGTACCAAGGATGTCATCATCATGCCGGAAGAGACTGCCGAGGATGCTACTGCGGCTCTTGGGAAGGAGAATGTTCAAATTGTGAGGTTGAATGGTGGTCATGACATGCCACTGACTAATGATTACGGCTGTGTTGATGCCATGACCAGATTTTGGGATGAGGAGTCGTGATATGATTGATTCGATACTTGTGAGCGTTCGAGCGGGATTCAAGAGTTTAGTTCATAGAGATTTTGTACATTTGACAATACCAAATGCCAAGCCAGCGCTCGTGGGATCGGTGAGAACACCAGCTGTAGCTTTTTGCTCGAGCAAAGCATGGCATGTTGCAAATCATGGGCTAGTGTCAGCCATCATATCCAGAGATTGTGTTGTGCTTGTGGGGATCCGCAGGCGCATATCGCGGCTCAACAGCGGCGGCAATCCCGTCAACAAAGTATAGACTCATAGTCTTCGTACGACGTAGGCAGACCAGTAGGTAATGTACAGTAGGTGTGAAACTGGATCTGGCGCTCGGCTATTTGGGCAGCATTGGAGACAACATCAGCATGGTCTTCGCCCGATTGTCCTAAGCAATAGCATATTTGACTCGATCTCACCATTTACGGCTTGGAGATCAACACTGCAGATGCTATGCCGCAGGCTTCGGAGCTTGGGGGCCGCGTAGTCGTGAAGTGACTGAGATATGAATAGCCTCGTCGCACCATTTGATCTGAAGCGAGGCTCATGCGAGTTGTATGCTCAGCGCACATGTATGCTGCCCAAGCATGATTTCAGGGTCGCCGCTGTGCTGGCACGTCTCGCATGCTGCATGGCGGCTGAGGCAAGATTAAAAACGGCAGACAACAATGTCCATATGTAGTATGCAACCACATTAACCCGGGTACCATAGCAGTGGGGTTATGCAGGGCAAGGAGGGATGTTGCTGCTATATCTGACATGTCAGTTTCCTGAAATTCCTTGGTGAGGATGTCGCGAGGAACTTCTGTATACGTAGCGTCTGGCCAAATCAGGTGTGACATATCTTGGAGTCACTGCAGCTTCCGTTTCGTTATAGTCAACTGCTCAGCTTACGGTCTTTCTAGGTGCGCGTTGGTGAATGAGGCTGTCTGTTGCAGAAGCCCTGCTCAGCAACAAGACATACCCCAAGCGTTCGCCTAGGATCCGGAGGGATTATGCTCGTAAGGATTCACGATCTTGCATGTGCCAAGCTCTTTCGACGATGCCAAACATCCGAACATGCAAGCTAATCTGGTCGCTGATAGTGCCTTGTTCCGTGGAGGCCCAATATTCTGACGGCTTCCTATGGTCGAAACGCGATGTCGTTTTCAGTTTGTCGCCTCGTTCAGAGTGCAGACGATGATTTGCCGGCTCATCAGGCTTTGCTTTGCATACAAGCCAGTCAACTGACTAGAATGAACACGTCTGCTGCTGCAAACGCGACCGGCCTTGTTATTTACTGGAAGCAGCAATGTGATGGTTTGAGCTGCTCAGTAGTGCTCACTAGCAAAGTTCAGAGGTTGAAATCTGGAACAAAACTGTCATATACCTTGTTGCGGTCGCAAGAGTACCCTGAACCGGGGTTGGGGAGCTATGGCCCGGACGGAGGGTTGTGATCAATGTGATGGAAAGCTGCAACTTGTGTCTTCCGTCATCAAGGGCGTACGGTAGCAGCTGCTCTTGTATGCCATCCAGCTCGACAGCCATAGGGACTGGGAGCGGTTCGACTTAGCTCTCGATAACCTGTGCTCGACATACGACGGAAGAAAGCGCTGTCATGAGGTGATTTGGTCGAAAATGTCTGCAAGCGTAGGTTCTACGTGAGTTTGTTTCTAGCTGGTCTCTGGTGGTCGCTGCGAAGTAAAGGCAGAAACATGGAGTGTTGGATCACATTGGCGGTGTTGGTGTCCGAAAGAAGAATTGCCTGTCCCGAGTGGAAGAAAGGTTCCCTGCTTCGTGGGAGCGGCAGATCAGTCGACATGCAAGGCCTGTATGGGCATGGCAGCTTCAGACCCCGAGTAGTACGCGTGCAACGCGTCGACGCAACTTGGAAGGTGCTCGTACGGTACGGCAAGGACGGACGTGACATCTGCTGATGACATGGCGTGTTCGCTGCGAAGAAAAGTGGCAGGCAGAGCGGTGCCAGAAGTTGGCCTGACTGCGCCAAGAAAGCATCTTTCACCACCCCACAGGACAGAATATCAGTGCGTGCAGCTCGGTCGAAATACTGTGCGGACGAAATCAGTCATGGTTCGTGATGATGATGGACTCTGGAAATAACCAGCTTGTTGTTGGTGTCTCCCAAGATATCCAGCGGCTCGAATGTCAAAACGCGTCCTGTAGCACGCCATCACCGGCGACGTCGATACTCTCGTGTGTGTGCGTAAGCTCAAGGCGTGGCGGTCGTGTTCCTTTAGGCTTTGATTGAGATCTGGGCTGTGGCGGCCTCTTGCGAAGCTGTTGTAAGCGACAGCTACATAGATCTTGATTCAAGATCAATCGTTCACGCCGTCTAGCCTGGCCAAACAGAGCGGACAACGCATCTATAGAGATCACCATATCAGCCCCGACAATGTCCGCCATCGTGGGTTCCTGGTCGGATGTTATAAGCGCTGTCGTTCTCGCCGGGATTTTGATCGTTTTGATCTCTTTCAACAGTTCTCGCGCGTCTAAACGCCACACGTGGTCGAGGCCAATGCTATCAGCCGAATTTCCTGTTCTTGCGGCAGCTGTGCAGAGATACGTACCCGCGCGCTGGATGCTGTGTTTCCCCGATGCCGTAAGCGCCCTTCATTAAGAACGTTGTCTGAGTCGAGGATCAGCATATTGCAGCTCCGGCGTGCTTAGAGTTGCGGACAGAGCGACGCGCGATGGAAGAAATGCTGGGCGCAGGAAACGCAAGAGTTGTGATCAACAAAACGGGTCGGCGGAAGGCACAAACAGCAGTCCAGGCGATCATTTTGTCCATCCAAGTTCGCCCAACCAAACGGGTCAAGATGAGCCGCAATCGCGCTCACACAATAATCTGGTCATGTTATATCCTGCCTCCTACATTCTACATTGCTGCATGCTGCATAAGCCACAGAGCCAGGGCCCCTTTCGAAAGACCCTGGGGACACAGCCGCTTGCTCTAACATGTGAAGAGACACTTCAAGCAAGGTCCTTTGAACAGCGCAAAGCCGAGCACGCATACATATGCTGCAACTGAGACTATGTAGATGCCGGAGAAGCATATGTAATGCAACTTCCGACCACTACGTCACATACCCATTCATAGACACGCGACACAAGCCCCGACCAGCGCGTAGATTGCTTCAGATTTTGCCGGAATATTATTAGTCGTGCTGTAGCGTGCAGCGGGCCGCGGGCGGGGGCTTTGTGGTCAAGCTCGCCCGAAGTCCTCGTTGTGCAACGCAATGACCAGGCCAGATGATGAATGGCACTTGCAATGGTCTACGGGCTCATGAGACTCTCAGACAAGATCATGGTTTGTAGGAAGAGGGGACAGCAATGAAGATTGTCTTGAATCTTATTAACAGCTCTTATGGACTCCACCAAAAGTCAGTCGCTGTGGTCACTGATGAGAGATCTCCAGTGTCCACGCTTACTGTGGCTTGCCTGAGACATGCTTTCGGCAAATGGTAACGTGCTGGTGATCATGACTTTTGATATCGTGCCGTGGCACTCAAGCCTTGACGTGGCCAGGCCCATACTCACCGCACCGGCGTTGCTACGGCATCTTGGAAAGTATTACATACTATACGAAAGAAAGCGGAAGCGCGGCGCAAGGAGAAGAAAAAATATCAGCAGCAAAATGGAGAAAAAGCGATGCTGTAACACTGATGGGTCCGCAACGGTCAGAATTTGCGTATCGACCTCGCGTCTGTAGAACCGAGCAATGCAAACCATCGAGTGGGACGAGAGGCTTCTGCCGTGCGTGCTGCTCGCCATGATCACCAGCAGCAAGTGATGCTTCAAATATCGTCTCGGGTAGCACTGTAGCAGATAGCGCTGTATGCACGGCATGCGAGACCATGATCATTCGTGAACCAGAAAACCTGGTATGGCAAAGTAGATCTACGAGTGTATCTGTAACAGTTATGATAACGGCGAGCCGGAACGAAGCGCCGAGACGAATGTGGATCTGCAGCAGCAAACAATTGTGCGACATGTGAGTAGTGTGCACTCTGGTTTTCTGGTAGACGTCCGCGTCGGCGTCTGCATGCATGTAATTGTTCCGCGCCACTCTTTAGCAGGCTCATGGGAGGCATATTCAGATCCGCAAAGCCATCAGTGCAAAGCGTGTGGTTGCTGCAATGCAATTTGACGTACGGTCCTGGGATGCCCAGCCTTGAATTTGATGGATGCAAACATCCGCCCTGGTTCGGGAGACTAGACGTGCTTAGAGCTGGGCCGTTGCCAATGGCTCAGCTGGTAATAATAATGCTGCGATGGGGCTACGCTGTCGCTCGTGTGTGAGGAACGCGTCTCCGTGTGCACGCGACGCTGGAGAGTAAAGTGCATGCATGCATCCCAATGAGGCACGGATCCGACTTTCTGGGGCGTCGTTGGTCGAACGGCGTGTTAGCGAGCCCATGCAGCTGCCAGGAAGAGCATGGAAGAGAGCAAGGATGAGTGGCCGTGAGCATCTCGGGGTCTAACTTTGTGAACACTTAGGTGCATGGACGGCAGGCCTTGCAGGCGGAGGTGATTCGACGTCAATTGTCGGCTGGAATAGTGGACCTGAACATGGTTCCAGCTGGGCATGGCATGGTCGAGTAGCTCAGGCCCCGTATACTTGTGCAGTTTGTAGATTGTAGGTTATTGAGTTATAACCTGTGTTTAATAACCTATAGATAACCGGTTATCAAGTGAACGGCTCTTGTAGTTAAATGAGGTTGTAGGTTATCGCAATTAGCCTCTCTTAGTAGCAAAGGTACGCCGCGTCTTCTAATCTAAGTGCTATTCTAGCTCTTTACTAATTAACTACCCTTATTTGTGCTATCTCTTGTCTATTGCTACTGCTATAGCTCTAAAGCGTGCCGTAGACGCAGGCAATAGTAGTACTATAAAGCGGAAGCGATAGTAGTAGAAGAAGCCTAAAACGGACGCGACTACGTAGTATCTATTGCTATAGAAGTATACTAACGAGTACCTTAAATTCTTCCTCG